GATTTACACATTAAAAAGAAGCAAGTACATTGGTGTTAGGCAGCTTCCCTAACTGTATGTCTTATTGTTTGGTTTAGATGAATGAAAAGAGGAATTTGACCAAATATTTACTTACCTGACCTGATATTTTAAAGATTTGGTGTCTCCTTGCCCTTCCCAATTCAAGTATATAACTTAAAATGTAAGGCCACAGGTGACTAGTCAATCCTTAGATCTCTCTCACTTACACTGATGTGCACATTTGTTTAGCTGCCATATGGGAACGGATTAATTGTTATGGATGGATGATTTTTCTGGATTGTGACCCAATTGAATTTGGGAATATCTATTGCAGCAATACGTATTTTCTTTTTCTCAGAATATCTTATTCCTTTATCCAGGAGAAGTAAATAGGTGATGACAGAAAATTTGTTGTTTTCGTATGATTAATTGACATACTGTAGGATTTTTACACATACTATAGAGGGATTGGATGTCAGATTTGGTTATTTAGTCATTAAAGTCACTGAGTACTTTAAAGATATCTGTTATTTGTGTTAAACAAGAATGTTTTTTGAATGTATCATTTGGATGAAAAATTCTTTTTAAATCAAGGGAAATCAAACAAAAATAAACAGAACAGGAATATCTGGATGTAGTACAGACATACCAAGATGATGTGGTAGCTAGAAGTTTTCATCTCTGATGTTTGATTATTATTATCAGTGACCCTTTACCTTGATTATTAGTTCTTGGCAGAAATTTTTGGTCTTTTCAATTTTTGAAAGAGAACTACGTGGTTGAAGATGAATGTGTATTATTTTTAACTTGTGGTTCAGCCTAAGCTACTTGTTATACTGTTTGTTTTCAATGTGCTTTTATTTAAAGAGCTCTGAGAAACCTGTTGTGCAAATTTCACCACGGATAACTGTCTAAAAGCTTGTCAAGAAATGAACGTTTATGGACCCTTTCTGAACATCTCCTTTTGATTACCTTTTATATTTTCAGAAAAACGATACGTGTTGCACAAATTAAATGTAATAAAAATGCTACATCCCCAACTGATACACTTTCTACAGCATGTAAAGAAGTATGTTGTGTTTGTTTTTAAAAATAAAAAAGTATTATATACTAACTTGATTACTTTGGACTTGATGGGACCTACTTTTGAGTAGCTACATATACTGTGTTTGCATTTGCATTTATTGTATTTGTTATTTTTTCATTCATTTGCAAATCTTATTTTATATAGCCTATATATGAGAAAAATCCTTTACTGAACAAAGTATCTATTTTTTTAATTATTTATTGCAGATACAGTATTTACAAATGGCCAGGCTGTTGACTACCTGTTTGTTGGAAATATTGTTTATACGGTAAGCTAATGCATAAAAAATGAAACATTACCTATTGTAAGATTTCAATTATGGATGTATTTCAGTGATGGAATATGTCTACAGAGGGGGATAAGGTACGAAGTGGCAATTTCCTAGGAAGGAGGGAGCAGATTCCAAGAAGGTATGTGTGTGTGAAACAGGAGACAATACAACCATGAGCTGGATCAAAGATTTAGGATAACCACTCCTTAGAATCTCCCAGGGTACATCTGTTAGGGTGAGAATAGTACAGATAGTCCTAGGTCGGTGTTGGCAAACCTTTTTGGCACCAAGTGTCGAAACGGGAGCACATGCACATGTGTGTGCTGGAAACCGGAAGACCAGGTGCGTATGCACGTGCCGGAAATCAGAAAATCATCTTCCCAGTGCATACATGCGCACTGGAAGGCTGCTCTTCTGATTTAATACAATAATACAATAGCAGAGTTGGAAGGGACCTTGGAGGTCTTCTAATCCAACCTCCTGCCTAGTCAGGAAACCCTATACCGTTTCAGACAAATGGCTAACCAACATCTTCTTAAAGACTTCCAGTGTTGGGGCATTCACAATTTCTGGAGGCAAGCTGTTCCACTGGTTAATTGTTCTAACTGTCAGGAAATTTCTCCTTAGTTCTAAGTTGCTTCACTCCTTCACAGTAGAATTAAAATTGTTCTGCACAAGTGCAGAACTAAAAAACAAGATGGCGGTTTTCTATGGCGCTGCCTGAAGAACCAGTTCATGGGGGTGGCAGGCCTGGGTCGCTGGAACAACAGCCCAGTTTTTGAAAAAGCTCCTTTGAGCTTTGATCTGGATGACTGAGAATCTCCACAGACTTCGCTTTTACCTTTTCTGCCAAGATTTGGCTAGGAATCAGAAAACCTGAGGCAACTGCCTTCATTTGATTAATGTT